TACAACTATAGGCGAAACCAAGGAAGTTGGTCCATGTACTCTTTCTATAATGCCTAAACGTTCTAACCTTTCAAGTTCTGCTTCTTCCTGTTTTTTACGTGAAAATGTATCCTCTATGTGGCTGATCTATATGTTTTACAGTGTTGTCAATATGAATTTTCACTTGTGTATCTTTCAGTTTCCTAAGTCCATGAAAAATGTCTTTGTATTGTTCACATAATAGTTCATTTGTACATCCGTTTGCCTCGTCGCCATTGTGAAATAGTTGATAATTCTATGGCACAGAGGGGATAAAGTCGTCTGCACAGTTTCATGATTTTAATAAATTAAATTCTTACGTGACTTTAGATAAACAATTTCAGTACATTACAAATGTCTATTGAGAATCCGCATTGAATATAGAAACTCGTTCTAAACAACACTTTAGAAATTAGAAAGGGTATGATAGATAAAAAACGATTTACTAGAGCTTATACCTACATAACAGATAGGGCTAAATTCAGCAGAAATGTGGAGAGGGACACATATGCTCTCTGTGGATTCTCTTAGTTCACTTTATGCTAGAATGCCAGTCACTGAAAATGGAGTAATTTTGGGTATAAATGTTAATTCGGTAATTTATAATTTGAAACAATACTAAAATGTTTTTCTGTGTAGTTTTTTCGACATCAAGTGTAGGACGGCATGGTTTCTTGTCAGAAGGTTTAATACTTTGAGTACGCTTTCAGTAACTTTGAGCACTCTTTAATTTATAGGCAACAGAAGTTTACTAATGTTTCAATCTCATTATTCCAGAAGTTTACTAATGTTTCAATCTCATTATTCCATTAGGAAGATATAAATAAAAGTTAACAAATGAGGGAATCACATGTACTAAAAAAGGGGCGAGACCGGGTGCGTCAACAGGGTAAACATAGTTTTGACTTGGATGGAGAGTTGTCTCATTGGCACTCATACCACATCTTCTTATATCTAACCTTAATATGGTATGCTTTATTATCTATTTTTTGTTTTGTTTTTATTGGTTGTTTTTTAACCGTTATAGAGTTAAGTATTTTTTTCTTATACTGGATTCACTGTAACATGTAATTACTCGTATTTTATTTATTATTGTATTGTTATACATTAGGTTGTTAATTTTTTTTTAAATTGTTTTACAATTTCCATGTCGGGGCCGTTTATAGCTGGTATACGGTATGGGCTTTTCCCATTGTTAAATGTTGCACGATGATAATTGCTTATATACACATCATATGAACTTCGTCGGAAAGTTGTCTCATTGACAATAATACCACACCTTCTTGTTTTGATATAGGCCACGGTAAAAGAGAGGTGATTGATATCGAAGAGACATTCAAACTCATTAGTCAAAAACAAACCATGGAAAAAAAAAAGAAAAACGATTATAAGACAAACAACAGTATACAAAACGTAACATAGAAAACCAAAGGCTTAGCAACACGAACTCCATATGCTTGCGCTGCTGGAATATTGCTACAGAACGGAAAGTTCACAATTGGGAAGCTGAAATCATCTCTTTTGTCTTAAAGTTTTGTTGTCAACCGACTCTCATCGTCAATTTCTAGATGTAAGTCAAGATATGAGGCAGACTTAACTATATATGTTGTGTCCTTTATTTAGTTCGATGGGATAGACGATTTCAACATAGTCATAAACTTTGACTGATTATTTAGTGAGAGGACATCATCTATATACTAGTGAAGTTAAAGGATAATGCTGGCTTAAATTCAACAACACTTATCTTGATGATATTTATATACGATACGGGTGAACTTATCAATCCTTTAAATAAACTTGTTCTAAAAGGTTACCAATTCAACACTGTAATTAGATCTTTGAATATTGTTTTTATTGGTATAAATATTGATTTTGTTATCAGTAAATTAAAATCATACTAATAGTTTTGTTATACACATATGCACTTTAACTGTACTACAATCTGACGATCCTTTATTTTGGCATTGCACAAGGTCATGTTTTTCTCTGACTGTTAATGACGTCTTTTCAATATATCCATTTGATGTTGGATGTGTACTGATTGATATTTTAGTCTTGGCTTTGAACTAGCTGTCAGTAACTGCGAGTACTCTCAGATCTGTACTTAGTGTCCTTTGTGTTGTTAGTGATGAGGGATGGATAAATACCCTGCCACGTCCGGTCTGTGTTTATGTTTGATGTTTTTTCTGCTTTGTATCGATCTGATGAGTTAAGTCTTTTAAAACTGATTTTTATAGTTTGTTCTTATGTTGTACTGTTACACCACAGGTTAGGGGGAGGGTTGATCTAACAAACATGTTTAAACCCGCCACATTCTTTATGTGCCTGTCCCAAGTCAGGAGCCTGTAGTTCAGTGGTTGTCGTTGGTTCATGTCTGTCATATTTGTTTTTCATTAATTGTTTTGTTATAAATTAGGCCGTTAGCTTTCTCATTTGAATTGTTTCCTATTTTTCATGTCACGGCCTTTTATAGCCAACTAAACGGTATGGGTTTTTCGTTTAGAACTATAGACAAATGTTAAACAGAAGTTTAGAACATAAGGCAACTGTGCAGAAGATTTGGATATTCCAGTTCTTCTAATTTCTGAAAAATAAAGTTAAAGCCGTCCCCTCTGGACAAGCATAATTATGTCTTGCATTCTGCAAAATTCATCAAAAGAGAAACAAATATTAGATCAATAATGGTATTTTACAATATTTTTATTTTTGGTGACTTTTCTGGGACAAATCTGCTGTGTACCTCCTTCTTTACTGACATCATTGTAATTCAGGAGGAAACTTTTAAGTAAGGTCTCCACATTAAATCTTACATGCAACACAAATTAATGTATTTCTTCATAAGATTTCATTAGTACTACTGCAGAAGGTGAAACAATTCTTGTACAATTGTAGTAGCAGTATTACATCATGAGAAATTGAATGCATGTTGCTGTTGTTCCTTTTTTTTTGGGGTGAGGGTTGAGTTGCTTAATCTTCAGTGTTTTGTGGAATGTTGTCTTTTTGTCTTTTTTTTTATGGCAATGATGTTGCCTCTTCTTTTACCTGTTGTTTCTGATTGGCCCTTAGTATCTTATCTGATATTGAAAGATTTTTGCGGCAAAAGTGTCAAAAAACGTTTTGCTCTGACATGCATTATAAACAAGAAAAACATTTACTTCTCTATTTCCTTTATTGTTTTATTTTGTGTAGGGAAAGACCTGTTTCTATAAATAACTTACAATATGTACAAATATAAACAAGTTACAGTTCATTTATACTTTGTACAACATTACAAATAGTGGACGGACAATTAGAAATCCCATTAGTTATCTTAAATATTTAGTTAAAAGAAAAATAATAATATACATAACATTAAAAAATAAAGGTAATATCAGCTAATAAAGTTTGACATATATCTTATAAGTTGTCAAGTCATTTCCTTAAACTTGTATGTCAAATATGCTTACATTAAAAAATGGAATGTGAAGTTTACACTTATAAAAAGACGATGTGAGAAAAAGATAAAAATAAATGTCTAAAGTGTTGCAAATTAAATTTGGTAAAAACTTATTTGATATCTATGCAAGAGGTCAAAAACATTGAATTTAAATTATCATTTTGATTAAAAAGGAAAAATTCATGAAGATACTTTTTAGTTATAGAATTTAATTTTGGATGCATTTTACACTTTTTCCTCTCAAAGGTCAAAGTTAATATGGTTTGTTACAAATACACACACAAATCTTTATCTCTCATTAGCTTAGGATATTGTAAAGATATATAAAAGTGTCTCTTGTACTAGACAGTACCTACTGGTATAATAAATCTAATCTTAATACCCTCATCTACAGAAATGCCATCTATAAGTATCCATAAATAAATGCATTTTTGAACTATTGTCCTACTGACTTTTGAATAAAATGACAAGCGACTTGAACTCTTCAAATGTGATTATTGATGATGGGGAAATAAAATCTTCTACAGATTAGACAATTTGACTTAATGTTAATATTTCTGTTTAAGGATGAAAATTATTAAAGTGATTTGCTATTCTTAAAGATGGCTTTGAAATCTAAAACTGGAAATATCTACCGGTAATTATTGTTGTTTCAGTATGAATCTATAACATTCTTCTTAGTGCTGTAACATGAAATGGAATGCATTTTTCTACCATGATAAATAGTAACAGGTTTAAATATTTAATCGTAAGTAAAATGATCATTCGTGTATTTAATGATGTATATTCAATTTCTTTAAATAAATGAGTGAGACTATAAACTATTAGAAATCTTAGCCGATCTAATTTTACATAACCCAATTCTTTTCATTTAATAATGTGATTCTAGAAAAGGGCTCTATAATATAGGTAACCTTAAAGAGATTCTAAATCATGAAAAATGTACTGTAACATAGCTACATGATGTTATTTGACCTTTATAATGTGGATTCATTATTATTATTATTATACCAATTTTTTTGGTGGATTCAGTTAACCATCAAATTTAAAAGTTCAACGAAGTACAAATTTTATATTGGCTTATGCACACTTTGGCAAAACCATGCAATCGAATATCCATGAAAATATAATTTTCCCTCAATCCACAAAAATAAACGAATCCACAGTAGTGGTCACTACTAAACTGGGCGGCAATATGTAAGGATTACATAGTATATTGAAATTTATAAATAAGAGATAAATGTCAAAATCAAATACACAAGTAATGAAAAATGGGAGATTAATGTCCTAATTAACAAACAAAATGTCATGAAATAATGCCAGTTAAAACTATTTATATATGTATTTCATAGAAAAATAAAAATGCTATCACTGAAAGATAGATTAAAATAGCATTGATATCTAACAAAAATTATAAACAACAAATAATATTATCTACATATATGATTACCTATTAACTTTTTAATAAGTTTATCAACACCAACTTATCTGAAGATAACAGAGTTAACTTACAGCCTTATCTCCGATACACATCATAATTGAGGGAGTTATTTCCCCTTACAATGAGTATTACTACTTTATATTAATATAGAGCAATGATGAAAGGTAAACAAGAGAAAACATAATATTAGCATTTCCAATTCAGATCAAAGGAATAAAGAGTTCTCCAAAATATTCGATGAATAAGAAGGGATTAAACTCACTTAATCCCCAGCACATTATTCCCAAAACTAGAGAAATACTCTAACAAATGAAAAAAAAAACATGTCTCTAGTTATAATTTCCAGTCAAATGAATGATTCTAGAATTGAATTTAAGGATGGAGGTATTGGAGAGTAAACATGATATCTACTTACTTAGCTTTTAAGGTTATCTAGCAATGAAAATCAAGTATGTTTGATATAGATGATACTTGTATGCTACTTTTTGTTAATATGATTCAGATTTACATTGTTTCATAAATGGAAAAAATTTCAGCTGAATTAGTAAAAAATCTGCATCTGAAAATTCTCGACTAAACGATCATATTTTCATACTTCAGCTGAGTTTTTTTAGATAACAATAACTTAAATACAATAAAATAAAAGTGTTTTTTGTAGAATAATATCAACCATTATAGTTTGTCATTACATGATTGATATTTGACTCTTATTAAGGCCAAAAAACAATGTGTCGTTTTCCTGCCAGATAAAAATAGGGTTGGTTGGTCAGAATTCTTTTCTCACTTTGAATATAATCACATTTTCTCCATGGCCCATTCCAATGATACACTATACATCTGGTAATTCAAACAGGCATGGTAGAACTATTGTAATTTCAAATGTTTTGATTACTTTTCACTCAATTTTGGTCAATTTTATTACAAACTTGATGGAACAAGTCAGCAGAAGTAGGATTCATACTAACAACACAAACATCGTTTCTTGAATAATATTTCAGCAAGGAAATCAAATGTTTTAGGCTTAGTTGAGTGACAGGAAACAGACATATAGTTTTGTTTCCCTAAATCTTAACACAATGAATCACTAACAACATATTTTCAAGATTAAATTGATACCAATTATTTTAGTTCAGTGTATTCTTTTAATCACTGACTATTTATCTACTTTACTGACCCTATAAAGGATTCTGTTTCCCAAAAATGTAATATTGCAAAAAAAGATCAATTATATTGATTTCTGCAATTTCAGTGTTTTGGATATTATACATATTATTTGCCTACAATCACGGAGCTGTAGAATACAAACGTATTTCCTATACAATTCTGACCACATTTTTTAGGCTCCTTGTACAAAGTACATGTTTATGGAATAAGTTCCACCTTTACAACACTTTTCATGCTTGTAAGCCTAATACAATTCATTCATTTATTCACCAATCCGAGAAGAGGACATACAAGCATTAACACCAAACGCATTTTACGTCCAATACAAATATTTTGGCACTTCAGAATATCAAGGGATAATTTAAAATTTTCATGACAGCTTGGATGAGAAAATCTTGGCTATTCTTTTTGCTTCCTCGGCTGTTGGGAGTTGTCTCCCTTTTGTTTGTCCATTGAATTTTTTCTTGTCTACTAAGAGTTTCTGCTTCATATGGTATGCCTCCTTTGTCTTCCCTTGCTGTCTTTCAGGATCATCAGACACATCAGAATCCTGCATAAAATATAATATACATAAATTAATTAAAAAATGAGGGACAACTTTTGACCTTAAACAAAATTTTAGAGGATGAGTATTATGAGATACTTAATTCCAGTTTCATGTAAAAATTAATTTCATACAGATAGCATTAAACAAGGTAGTCCAAACAGTCGGATTTATTTTAAAATAATATCTAACCTAAAACATATTAGATTGCATGAATTGTCTATAAAAGAATCTTTTATACTAAAATGAGTTGTTGCATAAAAAATCAACAACGTTATCCGTTTTGGTGGCAGTTTAAAAGCACTTCTGCCAAATTACATATATCCCTCTCTTTTCAGACATACATCAAATATTGATATTTCGTCAAATGAAAGTTAATTCATGCATATGTGATCAAGTACAAAGCAAAAATTTTGAATACAGGTTCCCTTGATTATCATGTTTATTAGCCATTTGAAAAGCCGTTCTAATTCTAATAGCAAGCATAACAGAATATTGGTGTTTGTTACGTTGAAACTGGAAGTGATATTTTTTTATCATGTTTATGCTTTAACCTTTAAGAAACAGGAAAATTATCAGTTTTGTTTTTATCAATAATTAAAAATCAGATAGAATTATTCTAATCACTTCGTTTAAATTTACAAGATTTATTTTCATTTGTCCTTCGAGGATCATGTTATTACAACTGTCAACTACACAGAAATATTATGCAAGAAAATGGTTTACAGTGTCTATAACTAAAAGGTTATGTGAATTAATTTGTTAAAACATAAACACACCTTTTCACTAGTTGGATTAAAAGGTCCTGATGTAGCTATCTCTAATGCTTTCATTGAAGCCTCCAGATGCTGAGCAGGAAGGAAAAAGTTTGGCATAGCAGATGTTTTACTTTCACTTTTTAATGACATTTTAGTTTTTCTACTTTCAAAATCATCTTCCTCATAGTCAGAATATTGGTTAGCATCACCGTTCATTAAGTTAGTGTCTATTTCACTTTCCCGTATTATTGGCACTGGAGTTGCTGATCGAGAACTATTAGCACTTTCTACAGATAATTTGACCTCAGTCTGATTTTGTGTCATTGGATTAGTTTCTTTTGGAAAAAAATAATCGTCAAGTTCATCAACAACTTTGCTATATAAAGCTCTTGGAGATTTTGGCACGTGATCACTTTCGACTGAATATTCAGATCTAGATGGTATAGATCGTTGACTTCCTGCTGAAGACACACGTGACGTTCGCTCTCTTTGTGTGACACTACCAGAATTTTCTGACTCTAAGTCAACATGTTCAAGTAAACGATCAGAGTCAACATCACCACTCCTGTTTAAATCATCAATATTTTCGTGAAAATTTAAATTAAATTCCTCATGCTTCTTACTCTTTGGACTCCACGACGGTTTATATCGTGATCTTTCATTTTCCTCATCATCTTCATTATCAGAAAACCAGCTATCTTTTTCAACAAATTGATCTCGTAAAATCTGAGTTCGTTGTGGTGTTCTAGAGTTTGGAACAGATTCAATGTCAAAGAAACTATCCTCATTAATTTTTTCTCTATCATTTGCAGCACTACTATTAATATCATTTGGCACCATTTTATCCCTTGGCTTTAAAGTCCTATGAAATGAAAGATCAGATGATGGAATTCCACCAAACTTTCCTGAAACATCATTCAGAGTTCTTGGCATAATAACATCTTCATCGCTTCTTTCAGCATCTGAATCGTCTTCATTTTCCTCTTCATCAAGAATATCTCGATAGCGATGATAATAATTTGGATCACCCTCACCATCTGATCCTTCGTACTCTGTTTTCTCCTGAATAATACTCATTTCTTTAGGATCAACATGACTATGTCCATTGCCATTTCCATTTGATGACCTTGCTGAATCAAGTTTGAATGACCCAGTACTTCGTTGTGAATTTTCTCCATGATACAGAAATCCTAATGATGATGCATCAGAGTTCTCAGTAATTTCTCGAGGGGAATAATTGTCTCTAGGGGTCACACCTAATACAGTAGGATCCCTAGGAGTAGCATTTGATGTAAAGGTGTTTGAAGTTGACATTAATTCATCTTCTCTAGGTGTAAACTTCATATTTATCCCTGTATCAGAGTTATTAGACTGGTCCCTAGGTGTAGAATCACATGCTAATGTACTGTTAGTTTCAGTAAGTCCAACAAAATCTCTTGGTGTTGTGCCAAATCGGAATGTATCAAGTTTATCACTTCCACTCCTATGAGAGTCTAAAGCATCATGGTCTTGATATTTCTCACTGGAATGAGTTGCTGAGAAGGCTCCAGAATCTGCTCCCGTTTGAGAAGATTCAGCCTCCTGGGAACCAGTCAACATCAACTCTGCCTCATTTTGCCTCACTGTATCCTGTCGACTCTGTGCAAACTGAAGGGAAGATAAGGTAGAAACACCAGACTGAGTTAGTGAGTTAGCCAACTGTTGTGACTGACATGTGACTGGTATACTTGATCCTGATTGGTTCAAGTGTGGAGTGTCATAAGATGTAACATACTGAGGTGGATGCTGGACATGGAATGAACTTCCTGTTGTTGACGGGGAGGTTACCAGTTTCTGCTTGAGTTTGTATGTTATCTCATCCAAGTCCTGCATTTGTTTTCTGAAATAATTACAAAATTAACAATTAATATATTTCTTTTAAATTTAAATAATCTTAAATATAATCAAACTTATAATTCATGTTTTATATCAATAATGAGTCTTTTCAGCATTAAAACACCATTACTGTAAAATGAACAGATTAGACCGTTGGTTTTCCCGTTTGAATGGTTTTACACTAGTAATTTTTGGGGCCCTTTATACCTTGCTGTTCGGTGTGAGCCAAGGCTCCGTGTTGAAGACCGTACTTTGACCTATAATGGTTTACTTCTATAAATTTTGACTTGGATGGAGAGTTGTCTCATTGGCACTCATACCACATCTTCTTATATCTAGATAGCTTATGACAACTTTACAGTAACTCAGTTGGAGGTGTATTGATTGATATTTTAGTCTACGGAAACATGATCTATCTTTTAATTGAAATAGGGCTTTGAACTAGCTTCCAATAACTGGGAGTGTTCTTAGATCAATATTTTGTGTGTTTTGACTTTGTTAGTTTTTTTTTGGTGCTTAGCACTGTTCTGATGAGTCCAGCCCTTGTTCTTATTCAAAGCTGTTACAACACTGGCCAAAATTGTATTAATTCACATTTTGTTATCCTGGGCCTTTTATAGCTTACTATACGGTATGGGTTTTGCTCATTTTTGAAGGCCTTATGTTGACCTGTAGTTGTTTACATGCTTGTTCTCTGGTCTTTAGATGGATAGTAGTCTCATTAGCAATCCTACCACATCTCAATATTTCTAGTTTACTTCATCTGTTCCATGCCCACAAAAATCTTTTTCACAATTTTTTTTTTTTAAACAAACCACAAAATAGTTGTAAATAGTCATATATTTTTTATCAAATGACAGCAGCATAATATTTCTTCCATTTTCAAAAGCGCTGTGGAAGGAAGTTTTTTTCAAAATTCATTATAGCATAACCATTATATCTTAAAATTTTGGCTGGTAATGTTTCAACTTTGCGTCACATCTATTAATGTGTAAATGTTTTTAAAATGTCATTCTCGATCTTTATTTTGACTATTGGAAACTTGCAATGTATGTTAATAACTTAGAGAACTTTTGCACAGATAGAGGTATCCAGGCAACGAGATAAGTTCTATCTAATTTAAGTATAACTGATATATAAGTTATGTACATTCACTGGAATTCTTTAAAATAAGCACTATATGCAACAAACTAACCTGAGTGATGAAAACAAATATGACCTAGAGGAGTCACTGGCACCACCATCATATTGAGCTGTTGAAAGACTTGGCACATGGTTGAGGGACGGCACACTGGATGACAGATTTGTTTGAAGAGTAGCACTGGACGGTAGAGTAGATATAGGGGATTCCTGATTCTCCTGATGTCTCTGCAGGAATGTTCTAATATTTTCGCTGAGCTGTTGTTGTAACTGTTCATGATGTACTTTAACCTGATCATAATGGGCATTAAAGTGAGGTAGATTGCTGGTAAATGGAGCAGTGGTAGTGGGCAGTGAAATCGGTGGATCACAGAACCATATTCCAGATGTACTGACTCCAGCAGGTAAACTGGTTGGTTGTACTCCGTGATCAGATAAGTTGTATTGTGTCACTGAATCCTGTGGACAAATGTTTACCTAAAATAAAATACACATAGTTTTACAGAAAATAAATTCTTCAGTACATTATGATATCTTGTGTAGTTTCTACTGAATTCATTTACAATCTGTTATAACATGATGAGATTTAGATATGTTAACACTTTTCTATGTGTTTTTATGTGTAAATGTTTGGCAAACAACTAAGAATGTATGTTCTAAATGTTTTCTCCACACACACACACACACACACAATTGGTTTGTCTGTCCATCACTGATGATTGTCTGTTAACTTCTATAAGTTTTCTTCATTATTTCACCTTGTTGACACACACACACACACTTTTTTCATATATATTGACAATGGATAAGTATTTTGAGGGAAAATAAACTTTATATTTTAAAAGATATATAAACTCATGTGGTCAAGATAGAGTTCAAGATAAATATATTGAAATTATATGAATCAGGACAAATAATACACATTATCACTATTTGTCCTCCATTACTGGACATTTAATGTAACAAGAAAAAATGTTTGACACTACAATGCAAAAGTGATTGTTGTATGACGTCAATACCTAGTGGTTTTTTTTTTTAAATTCCAGTAAAATGTCTCAGATTCTCAAATAACAATAAAGTCTTTTTCTTAATTGAAATTAAAGAATTTTATCCTTAAAAGATAAATCTGTAGAAATTAAAAAAAAAAAGTAATATTTACCATAATTTGTCCTTTGCACTGGCCATTGAAGTCTGTTATATTGTACCAGCCACAAATCGCCTGTAACCCTGACAACAGAGGAGTTAAATCTACTGACACAAATCCTAGGACTCGATCAGCTGACTTATCTGTCAAAAATAAAACGAAGAAAGTCAAAATGTAATAGTGATGTCAGCTGTTGGGAATGTAATTGAATAGAGAATGGCAAATTCCTTTTTTTCTGAAACAGACAATACTAAAAATCAAAAATTAAAAAAATTAAAGTCCACTGTTTAAATCCGCTTGATACTTTTATATCAGATACATAACAGAATTACTAATCTGAAATTTATCTAACACATACCTGGTTCTTTTGAAGCACCATGAGGTTTATGCCAAACTTTAAGTACTAAATTCTGGAATGAAGAAATAAAATGTTCATATTTATGTAACATTCAATCATTATCAAACTAATTACAAATGTTCTACTGTTGACAACAATTGATTTTATATCTTATATTATTTTGACAAAATGAATCCAGCGATATTACTTGGCAACGATAACTAATTTTTCTTCTAGAATAATCCCACAGAAGTCTTTATTAATACTTAATGAGTAAAAAGGATATGAGTAAACATTAGTCAAAATACCACAAGGTCTAAAGAAACCTCAAAATTTTATTACTTGCTTTTTTTATACCAAGACCTAAGATAAATGCAATAATCTGACCAACATTCAACTGAGTACTGAATACAGTAAATTTTAAAACTTTAATGTTTAAATCTGTTATAAAGATCTCTCATCACACAAACACGTCTTTTTTGTGCTTTTTGTTGTTGCTTGTTCAGGTTTTTTTTTTTGTCAAAGAACAGTTTTTATCAAAAATTGGTACAGTTAAAATTAGGTAAATGTGTCATCAATCCAAACAATGTGTGGTAAAAAGAGATGTAATGTAGTTAGTTACCTTATTTTCCTGATACAGTAATTCTGTACTAAGTTTAGTTTCATGTTGATGATCCCAGATGGGACTATCTGAGTTGTGATAGACTGCTGTGTAGGATGGACTTGATGATTCTGACGTCTGGTAAGACACATAGGCATTTGGATGACTTTCATCAGATCTGAAATAAAATAGATAAGTTTCTGTCTTTAAATAAATGAAAACTTAACTGCAGTCTATAATATATGCAGGTGTCCAATAATTAATGAATCAATGCAAAATAAAACTGCAGGCACTTGTGGCTTTTTCATGCTGATTATACAATTTAAGATTACATATATATACTAACCAATATAATGCTCCATTAATGGCATTATAATAAAATCGGCATTATACAATTTACTTCTTTAAAAGTACTTTAAGTTGCCAGAAAGATTTATAAGAGAAGATAACTCTACCTGAATATACTAATTAATAAAAGATTCAACTATAATAAAATCTGCTGTATACCATTCATTAACTTTGTAAACTGTACTTTTTAAGTTTCCAGAAAGATTTATAAGAGAAGACAACTCTACCTGGATTTGTCAACAATATGTGGTAAATGCATGGCTCTGTCTATAGAAATCACAACACTAAACACAGATGATTCTTTCTCTTCTACAACACTCAGATTAGATTTCTTGGACTTCTCCTTCTTGAGGCTAGACAATTGGTGGAAGCTGTCATTTGGATCATAATCAGGATCCTCTGTCACTGATCTGTCAGATAATTCTTCCTCCAAGTCATCATCGCTTTGTTCCTAAAATATCATAAATATTTCTATGGTTAACTTCTGCATTCTACTTTTATATAGCATTTTTTTCTGAATCTCAACATCTCAACATGTAAATTTCTGTTATCATGGCTAGCAAAAAATACTGGTATAAAACAACTAGCTTAACAGTATCTAAGCAAACACTACTTTTATGGATCTCAATTGTTGCTTTTGATTTGTTATGCTTTTTATGTTCTCTAAATATCTTTGAAGAAATAAAAATTTTCTCATTTGATATTGTGTGTTCACTCTGGAAACAGTGAATGAATTACCAATGAACTCTACCAAACACAAGCCTCAAGTAAAAATATTATTTTGTAAGTCATAATACTGTATTTACCTGATGAAGAGGACCAAACTGAGGTTTAGAGGTTATATGAGCCCTTGCAAAGGCACCACCTAAACTAGAAGATCCAGGTTTAAACAAGGGATACATTCCACTGGAAGTACAGAAACAAAGACATGTTATTCTCTTGTAAAAGCTTTCTTCCACATTACTTATTCAAATTTGAATATTTTACAGTTTATCTTACATAGATATTTGAAATTATTGTCCCTTTAATCTCACTCTATAAATATGTCATATACTATTCAAATTGAGAAACTGATTTTTCTAAAATTATAATATTTGTTCTTCATATCATTATATATTTAATTATTTTCTTTTTCTTATACAGAACTTTCTACCTTTTTACCCAAACTTGAGAAATATGACTTATATTGAATATATAAAGCCAGAACCTGTACTAAAATTCTGATTTGAACAATTTCTTTATTTTCAGCTCAAAATAAATATATGACGTCTTTTCAAAGTTAGTACCTGACTCTGTGTTGTTTTCTCCTTTCATCATTAAGTGATTCCATATCTATGTATGCAGTACCAATCAGCTTGTCTCTATGTTGTGGTTTATTTTTATGGTGTTTACGACTGGCATATGTTACCCAAATTTGGATTTCTAATTTCTCTTCTCGTAAATACCTGTTAACAAATCAAATCAAACAAAATCTTAAGATTTCTGTATTTTTCTTTTGTCAGAAAAAGATTTGCAAATCCCTATACCCAAATGATACAAACTAAGACATGTATATTGATAAAACTGACAGTGTTCTCCCCAGGCCCTTAAAGGACCGCAGGCCCGCGATGTATAATTTTTGACCGTGGTTCTATTGGTCTTACCGCGATGTATAATTTTTATCTGTGGTCCTAAAATTTACAGTCTGTTTTGTTATGTTGCTATCGCATTAACTTTCTTCTCCTTTTATCCTAAATGATATATAAAAGCTTAAAATGTTTATACAAATATTATCAAGAGCAATACTTTTTTTCTCTCTTTGATGTATAGTAGGAATTTTCTGTTTTCCCTTAGAATTACACTAGATAATTTGAGATTTTCTGTTTTCCCCTAGAAATACACTAGAAATTTAGAGATTTTTCTGTTTTCCCCTAGAATTACATTAGAAATTTAGAGATGTTTTCCCCTAGAATACATTAGAAATTTATAGATTTTCTGTTTTCCCCTAGAATTACATTAGAAAATTTTCTGTTTTCCCCTTCAATTACAGTAGAAATTTTGTTTTTTTCTCTTGAATTACAGTTAGAAATTTTCTATAAATGAAAATAACATAAATTGTGTACAGAAAATAGAAAGGTAAAATATATGTATTTTTGATAAAAACAATGGCATCATCTGTGGCACCTAAAGTACCATATTTAAGAATAAAGATGACTGCTGAGGATTCATATATTTTCTTTGCTACCAATTTTTGTGAATTAGGAACAATTTAGAAAAATTTGCTCTTCGTTGAACATTTAAATTTGTTGATCACCTGTACCCACGAATCATTAAAAATTGGTATCCAATGAATAAAAATTAATCCACAGTATTTGACATCTTAACAAACTATAAACTGTCGAAGGATTTTTAACTACAACTGCATAATAATATCACTTTGTATGAAAGATGTAGGAAAAGATGAAGAGCTTACCACTTAAACGGAGAAGTAACAGATATCTGGAAGTTATGGTGGTGATTTAACTGTGATACAATATAACCTTCACTGTTCACGGACATAGGCTGAATCTTGGATACAACAGCACCTAAAAATAATCTCAATTGTTAATACAATATAAATTTGTAAGGAATTAGGAATATTCCAAAATTAAATGTTGGAAGGCGCTATTTTCCTCAAGATCCCCTTTCATACAATTTTAATTAGAATAATAATGCGTCATTGAGTGAAAAATTATTTTGACACACCACCAGTATATCATTGATATTAGATGCCTTCCAACCCCTACAATTAACTCAGGAAAAGCCCTAATACAATTGTTTGTCAATAAATGGGTTATTTTGAAAATTTACTGCTAACAATGTATTCATACAATTTCATTACTCCTGTTAAAATGATATATCACTACTCAATGTTTTAATTTTTTTGTGGCAAATATCTTTAAAACAAGACAGGTTCAACTTTGGCATTTATTTATTTGTTGAGATGAGTAATTTATGTGAGAAATCATATTTTAATTGAATAAACATTTTTTACAAACCTTTGTCATAGACTTTGTATCGAACATAACATCTTGCAGACTTATCTAGACTGTTTTGTCCAGTAATCAGTGCATTCTGGACTGGGAAGGAGACTTGATCTACTGATACTGTCACATTCTGATATCTGCCACTACTTTCATCTAAAAATACATGGAATATAAAATAAAATCTAAATGTTTTCTTTTAATTTGGAATTTTACTACAGCTATACAAAAACAAAATAAAATTTTATCGCAATCTTTTCCAATATCTAGATTAAAAGTTTCAGCCATGATGTATTGTACAGTATCCAAAGAATCTTCTATGTACGAATGAGTGAACTCCAGAATTTTTAGTTGCATCCAGTCACATAACATTATCAAAATTATAATGGTAAGCCTCTTTTCAAATTGAATGGTCTATATGAAAGTCATACATTTACAATTAAACACCAATCAACACCCAAAGGACCCACTAAATCATGAGAAAATCTTTCCATAATAAGATATACAAAATATCTATATTCCATTTCAAAGGGAGGTACTTACCATCACTTTCCCAGGCTTCTTCCTCCTCTACATTGAGTTCTATAGGAGACCATCCTACACCTCTGGCTGTGTGTATTACTCGTTCTCTATCATTGTGATGAGCAAACTTAACAGCCATCTCTAGCCCTCCTACTACTCGTTCTAAACCTCTGTTACCACTGTTTGTCTCCTCTGTAATACTAGTGTCCTCATTCCAACCTGATGGAGGCGAGTTTACTGCATACCAACCAGTTATTCCTAAAACAGCAATTTTAAATGTTTTAAGCCTTTTATCTTCTCTCTAAATAATTTCATAAGAAAACTAGTTACAGATGCAACTTAACTTTCAAGAAGACACAATGTTTATAAAGTGCCTTTCATTTGCTTGGCAACATTTTAAAACCTATTCACGACAATAATTATTTCAATAGCTTATATAATTCAGTCACATCTCATATATTAATACATAATTTAAATGCAGGACTGGCTACCATTGTGATTTTACCAGAGATGTTTATAATAATCTTTCTAAATAGTATTCAGCAAAAAAGCAGGCTGGTACTATGAGGGTTACCCCTTATACCATACTTAACATACAAAATCAGTCCACTGAGTAAAAGCAAATTTGTTCATTAAAAAAATTAAAAAAACAGTAAAGACTCTAATTTGAAAAATGTACCTGTTCTGTGAGTTAGTAAGGATGATAATGAAAGAGTTACTGTTCCTAACAGAACATCTCCCGTCTTTCCAAGAAGTTGTCTCCCCTTAACACCACTGTCCATATCCTGCAGTAAATGTCTGTCAAAATCTGAAAATAAGAAAAAAAATGTTAAAAAAATCAATACAAAATTTCTTGGTTGAAGGGTTGATATGGGTATTTCTTTTTCTTTTAGTTTATCATTAAATGTTACTTACAAATAAGTTTTAATGTTAATGCAAGCTTTAAAACAAAAAATGTATGACCTCTATCCTTTTGACAAAAAACATTTCAGCATTTGTTTTCTTTATTTTTCATTGATATATGACAGAAAGAGTATTCTCAAATCTTCTACGAATAAATGATACTACTCCTTACCACAGCAATGATTCTTGCACAACAAGTCCTAACAGATTGTACAATGTCATCATGTTAATATAAAAATCTTAGTGTTACAAATGAAATTAAATAATGCCAAAAGTAATGGTACATTGAACATCTATATGAAAAATAATTACCAAATTAAAATTTTCAAACCTTTTAGCGCCATCAAATGTTTTTTTTTTTATATATTTACCTGAGGACATGCCAGGGACTTGATGCCAGATTTCCATTGTTATTTCTCCACATTCCAAAATTTCAGCTAAGGTCATTGCATCACTGTCTGGTTCTGTCCATAACAAAGGACATGGGAAATCCATATGGTGAGAATATTCAGGACAAAATGTTCTTGCTATTGTTCTCGTTAGTCTCTCATCCTGTAAAAGAAATAAAAAGATCTTTTCAACTGTTTTTGTAATTATGGTATATTAAGATTTGTTCTAAGATCAATGGAACCCTGTTTCTTTCATGCTCGGGATGTTGTCAGTAAGTTAGAATATTACATGTTCTTATCTATGATACTGCAACCATTTTAAAAATCTTTGTTAATATTGGTTTTAATAGACATTCAAATACACAGCCCTCTCTCATTCTGAGAGATTCAATATACTTTTGACAATACCGTACAAGTAATTTTTAAAAGATTGTTTTAATCACATAGGTACACTCACAGATAAGAATTGTTTAAATACACTGTAGCTGCCATACATAGCAAAAGACCAAAATGAATCTAGGATCACAAGTGCAAATTAAGTGATCTACAATGGGTAATGTCAAATCAGCTGCATGATCAGCTGACCCATGCCTGACTCAAACACCAGCCCTAGCCTCAAAACTTTACTTCAACCTAAAACAAACTTTAACTTAACCATAACCATAAACTGAACATGAACTCTAAAGTATAGGGTCTGCTCACGTTAATTAAGGTTGTCTTGGCTTCTTATGTAAATATTATGGTACTAACCTGTTTCTGGAGGAAAGAGAGTTTGACTTTGACATAGGAGTTAACACCAACTTCAGCAGGATACTGCATCCCTGTATCAAGGTGGGCTATGGATTCAGCTGCTGCCTATTAACAAAAAAAATAAAAACAATAAGTCATTACTTCAAGACGAGGCATTCTATTTACAGCAAAAATTTATTTGTAATTCAGTTTACATTAAGGGTTTAATGAAACATGTGATATAACATAGTCTTAGAGTTGATGCTTAATATTTGAAATTTATTACCTAATAAAAGATATCATATCAAAGTTCTTAATAAATTCAATTAAAATTACCTTTAATCCAGTAGCTCTGATGACACTGACAGATATACAGACTTGAGATCCTGACAGATTCTTCTGTAAAGCTGCATTCAATTCATTCTATCAAATGTAACATAAAACCATAATTAGGTTTAAACATGCACTTTTAAGTGCCAGTCTTTGTAAGAATCAGGCAATTTAGAAAAATTTCAAAACATGACCGACACCGACCTAACCATCCTATTTTAGAGTTACCCTCATCCTGAGTTAGAAATGGTAGGTTTTTCGTTTCTGCTTGTCTGGTAATTCAAGAAATCTCCAGTTAACTTTTGGTTAGAATGATAGCAAATTACAGAGTTAGCTCCCCTTAATTGTTAATTTCTAGAGCATTTCAACCAAATTATATCTTGAATTACCAGAACAGGAAAAGGAAACCAATGTTATATTTGTGCACCATTATACAATTTTAACATAAATTAATGTCAACTTGAGTGGGTTTTTGTTTGTCATGTTTTCACCACTACCCGATTCTTAGGCAGATTGGTTATTAAAATAATACTATAAAGGGGTATATTACAAGGTTCTATGTAAAACTGACATTTCCAAAATACACAGGTAATTACACCTTGCAGGTTTAAGAAAGAAGAAACTAAACAACACTGCACATCCAATACATTTTTGGAAAAATAATGGATAAGGTTTTTCACTATATATGTTATGGTTCCTACAAGGCTCATATTTCCTAACTTTTACATTCTGAGTAATAAATTATTAATGATATAAATAAAAAACATATTTTTTTAGTTCTCGACTTCCCATGTATCTCATTTTGCTAGGCAACAAGTACTAGACAGAGATATTCTATGTACATGTAACATTCAACCAATAAGATGTCATGGTTTAACTTTATATTCTTTTACTCTTTCCTTTGGTTCAACTCTATTTTTTCAATATTTTCTTTGAAACAACAATAGCTGTGAGATCAGTGATATTATTATCTGATAGACAACTTACCTGTATTGTATTTGTTTTATAGTGTATTGTTACATCCATTAATCCAGACTCTTTCATCTGTAAAAATAAAACAAACAGAAATACAGAGTAGTTGATATAAATAATTAAATTAGTAAAATGTTTTTGGAAATTCCAATTGAAGATCTATTAAAATATTTTATAATTTTATCAATAAAATATTAGAGATACAATTTTTACAAAGAATTACCAAAAAATATCCAACACTCCAGCAGAGATGAATGAAAAAAAAAATATGGGGAATATGTCATTGATACAGCAACCAAACAACACAAATAAAACCTGTATGTAAAGGTCTACATAAGGTCATCTGATGTCATCACTATATTTATTACACTAAGATTTAATTAGAAAACACTAACAAGGCTCCTGACTTGGTTAAGTCACCTCAACTAGAGATGTAGTTAAAATAGTTTTTGTAGCACTCAACCATCCTTTTTTAGAACTTAATTCTATTTCCATAGCTTTTTGTTTCCATACCGCTATATGTTATCATAATTTGTTGTTGCCATTTTAAATTTTTGATACTGTGTATACATTTAATGTTAATGAAAAAAATTCAATCAATGTTGTCATATTCAATTCAATATGATCAACATCTCAAATCACAGCATTTAGTACTTATACAAAAAGTGCACAGAAAACCTGTCTCTTTGTGCTAAAGTTTGTACAAATTCAACTTTTGCAGTTCACATTTGCTTAAATAAAACAGTCTTACACAACTATCTCTTCCTATAACTCACCTTACACAACTATCTCTTCCTATAACTCACCTTACACAACTATCTCTTCCTATAACTCACCTTACACAACTATCTCTTCCTATAACTCACCTTACACAACTATCTCTTCCTATAACTCACCTTACACAACTATCTCTTCCTATTACTCACCTTACACAACTATCTCTTCCTATAACTCACCTTACACAACTATCTCTTCCTATAACTCACCTTTGATTTGGACTCTGGATCCTTCATTTCTGAATCTGATCCTACTTGAGTTAATGGCAAGGCAAAAGTTTGAACTGATGGCTCCCCTCTTTTCTGCATGGTAACCATAGCACATAATTTGGCAAGTGGCAAGTTTGTCTTAAATAAAAAAAAAAGAAGATTGAAATTAAGCTATCATGTAATATGTTTACTTATATAAATCCTATTTCTGTTTTTATTTAAACAAGAATGTTTAATAATTCACTGAATACTATCTTAAAGAAATTTAAACTCTCTTAACTCTATAGACCTTACCTTGGCTATACACTGATCCCTAACATTAGGATGATAATATCTACACCACACTTCAAATGGTAGACCTCCTCCTCCAGTTCCAGCACAGGCTGAAGAAAAAATACCATAATAAAGTCATACATATACATTAAATAACTTATTACTGTAATTCTAAATGGAAAGCAATATAAGTATTAGTGTATCAAATTCATAATGTAAACTTTTGGATAACAATATACATACTGTTATCATGTCACAGTATATTTTCTTAGATTAGCTCTCTGCCTTTGTTGACACTTGTATATCAATATTTTTAGGTGTTTTCTCTCAACAGTATGATTTCTGTATAGTCAAACATGTGTAAACGAAGATAATTAAAAGACTAGCATTAATGGTTAACACATATTAATCTATTCTTGCTCGTTTAAAAGTAAAGGGCACTTTTACTATCTAACTTAAAATACACTTTGTGTATTGAAAGACAACGTTACCTGTGAGTAATTCTCTCTGTACAGGTGTTCCCATTGATAGAACGATTCTATGCCGTGTAACATCATTGAAAGTAGGATCAGGTATACATAATGTTGTTGCACTTCTGAAGGACTTCATACTTGGCACAGCTGCAAAAAATATTGTGAATCAATCCATCAGTATAAAGAAGTTTCTTAAATTCTTTCTAAAAATAATCAATCAGAGATAACAATGTCAAACTTGAGAAAACTATTAGGTTTGAAAGAAAAAAAAATATGTATACACAATGGATGGTAGTAATCCTCTTTAAATAATAGACTTAAATTATGAGAAAGTAGGCTATTCCATTTAAATGGATGTGGTAGGATAGGAAGGGACTTTTAAAAATTCACCAACAACCAACAAACTTTCTTATGTGTAATTTTGTGTACTTCAGATGGATATAAAACATAGATGGGGCCTCGGTGGGCGAGTGGTCTAAGTAGTTACTACAGTAATCACTAGCCAGTCAACACTGAGGTTGTGAGTTCGAACCCCGCTCGTGCGGGTGCACTCGACTCCAATCTTAATTGACTAGGATTGTCAGTTTTCCTATCGAAGGTCGATGTTTTTCTCCTGGCACTCCGGCTTCCACCACCAATAAAAACTGGCCGCCGCGAAATAGCCCAAAAGCGGTGCTTAAAAACGGCGTTAAAACACCAAAAAATCAAATCAAACAAGCATTTTGAGAGTATTGCATGGCAATACATAGTCCCCTACCGGGTAAAAATTCATTATACTGGAACAAAATGCTTACTTGTTCTATAACTTGTCATGGTGTAAACAAAAAGAAAATATCAAGTCAATATCTTCAAGCATGACTAAAAACAGTGTGGAAAACTGAATATATGAGTGAATTTTTTCAAGTCCAAGGACCATAACTCTGCACAAAATTATCAGACCGAAACAAAAATTTGAACTTGATCTGTAACTTGTCATGATAAAACTATATACCAATTGTCAATCAATATCTTCAAGCATGATGAAAAAAAGTTTCGAAAACCTATAACACTCTAACATTAGATATGATTAATAGTTCTCTAAAATTAGATATGATGTAATACAATGTATATCTATTTTCAAATTACAATCAAATATAATTAATAGTTCCAAAATTTTTTTCTTTCATTTGTCACAAACTAATATAGATTTGTAACTTATCTATAAAATGTCAACAACTTTTATCTACACAATGTAATGTAATGAAATATATACCTTAATAAAAATAGATTATTATATAATTAAAGGATTTCACTTAATAAAAAAAAAAATATATATATATGTAGCATTCAGAAAATTAGTTTATACAAAATAACATATAAACCTGCCACAAAATTCCTCAAACAATTTACCAAAGAATGTCTTTTAAAAAATGAGTTATCTCCCTTTGTACAGGTTATATGGTTTAACATAGTACTCTTAACATTAGTTATGGAGTTTTTTTATGGACCATAACTCTGGACTAAATCATCAGACTGGAACAAAATTCGAACTTGATCTATAACTTGTCATGATAAAACTATATACCAAATATCAAATCAATATCTTCAAGAACAAAGCAAAAAAGTGTGGAAAGCTGAGTTGCCGGACTGACGGATGAACAGACGTAGGACAGACAGACGGACAGAGTGTAAACCTAAAGTCCCCTTCGACTGCGTCTGTAGGGGACTAATTAAAACATAGATGACCCACACACCATGTCCAAATATAAAACTTCTCTGTCAACCCTCTCATAGTCATTTTAATAAAACAGCCCTTACATAAATTACCCTATTAGTAAGATAAGAAGTTGGCAAATTTTGCTTCAATTCTAAAGCTGCACTTGGCAATGTGTTTCAGTGATATTAACAATAACTTACCATGTTTGATAACAGGTGATCCTTGGACATGATTATTTGATTGAGCTGGGAAATGGTACTGTACAAAGCAATCTGCTTCTCCCCACATCATGTTCTCAAATGCAGTCAGACCTCTCAATCCTTCTATTACTACTTCAAATATGTGCTCCACTGTAAACAAGAAAAATTTAAAACATAAAACTCATATTTAATCTATCCTTCTGTCATACACAACCATTCTACTCAGGTAAGTTTTAAGAACGATGAATTTTCTGATAAAATCAAAAAATTTTGGTACAGATTCAATGTGAAGACTTATAAAATATTGAATTATAGCAAAGTTTCTTTAAATGTCTCCTTATATCTCAGTTGATACAAAATTCAAGAGCTTAAATTTCTCATTAGGATTTCCTTGATAGAAGGGTGACTACCTTAATGAAACTACTTAAGCAAAAGTTCTTGAAGACAAAGTTGAAATCATCACTTCGAAGTTTAACAGTCAACATCATGACTTGTTTGACTGTGATATAATTTCTATGTCATAGATGAAAAAATTCTTTCATATATCCTATGTTTTATCTCAGCTTTTGACTATCACCTAATTTCATTCTTTCATCATCAACCTAGTCCAAGTTAGCATTTTTAGGGACTGGATAGGGTAGTTAAATGTCAGAGAGCAGTTAATGAGATTGCTATTATTTTGTGAAGAAAAATCACTACCCAAATGAATGCGCGTTTTTAATATTGCAAACCTGATACTGATGCATTTTACACATTTATAAACACATTGCTATAATTTCTGAATTTACAGTATTTCATTTTCAATTTTTTACCAAGAATACACCTTGTACTTGCTACTACAAGTAATTCATGTAAAACAAGAATTTTGACCTTGCAACAGATGTAAAATAAACTTACCAATAGATTCTGTACCTATATGTGGAGGACTGATGTCATCTGACTGTTGTAGATCATTCCTAAAGAAAATATAATAATTTATCATTGTAGTATTGTTAGTGGTGAAAATACAGATAAAATCTGTAACTTCAGATTATTTTGTTAAACCACTATAACAAAAATTAAGCCAAGCTCCAAAATTACTACAATACTGTCAGATATAAAGCATAGTTCATTTTTTTTTTTATTTTAGGTACTGTAAACAAACTTATTTTCAGAATTTTTTATTTAACGTTTAAAATCTAAGAATATCCAAGTTTCATATTCACGATATTTTTCTAATTGCAAATCTCTTGAAAATTAATCCGTTATTGCTCGCCAAAATTAGTTGGTTTACAGTATATCAAATAGAAAAGATCAGATGTCTGTTATTTAAAAATTAATGTAAAATCTATAGTAAGACATATGATTCTGTACCTTTCCAAATAATGTTGAGGTCTCTCTGGCAAATGGTTAGGTGCCACACCATCAACTTTGATTCTTTGTAGGGCAGCAACCTTTAAAAAATATTTTAGATACGCTCTATAGGTATGAAGAAACATAGAACAATGGTATATCTAAAATACTCATGCTTTCTGCATAAAGTTTGTCTGGTGGAAATCATAAAATAATACACAAGCTTTTTCCTTTTTTTTTTCGTCAGAAAAAAAGACATAACCTATTAGAAACCAGTGCTTTCCTTTGGTCTCATACAGAGTATTTTTGTGGATATTCAAAATGAAGAATATTGTGAGAAGTTGGTGAAGGTTTATTGATAACTTTTATAGATGAAAGAAAAGTAGATGACCAAAACCATGAACTTGTAAGCTATTAAGCAAACTTGTTGCTAAACACTTTGAAAGTTTGATAAACAAATTTCACCAGCTTAACCTTTTCTATGGCTAGAAAAATGATCTATTGTGATTAGAAATCTTACCTGTTCAGCTGAGCCAATGGCTAGACAAACTTGTAGCTGTCCAAACTGTGATCCATTTAATGGGTTAACAATAGGGAGGTAGTTATCAAGTGCTATCACAGGAAACTGCAATATTTAATATAAATTCTTAAATATAGTACTTTTACTTATAAACAACACATGCACAGAACGGTGCTAGCCTTCAGACAGGACATGTACGGAACTGTGTTTGCCTCCAGACAGGAAAATTACCTATAATTTTGATCTTTCTATACTTTAACATTTTTACTGATGCGTAACTATATACTGTAAATTCAGAAATTAATGCGTGTATTTATTATTGCGACTTTTGAAGAATGGACAAAAATGCGAGATTAATTATTGCATTTCAGGAAAATCTGCATACAGATATATGTATCATCTTTCAAAATGCGAGTTCTTATTATTGCCATACTCACCCAGTCGCATTATTCGCAATAATAAAAACCTCGCAATAATTTCTGACTTTACAGTATTAGATATTATATGATCTCAAAGGTTATTTCTTTATGCCATTTTCCATTTTCTGTAGAATAAAACTGCTTCCTCTTTGTTGTTATGGTGATCTCTATTTTCATTTTTGTATTTAGGTTTTATTAGGTTGTTTTTCATCAAAGTTTCCCAAAAATCTTTTTACAATCATAGTCCCTTTTTTCAGTTTCATCATTTAATGATAATATCATATACTTCTTTTTTTTTCAATTCATGCATATTAAAGTGATATATAAATCATCTCCAAATATTCAACACAATTATTACCTGAGATTTAAGAAGAGTATTTGCAATTTTCTTATCCCTGAATGACATATAAAACTGATGCAGGCTGATCTTGACTATGCCAATCAACTAAAAATAGATAAGATTAAATTAGTCTATGGGTAATGCTTAATTATTACTTAATCCCTATGAACTTTTTTAATTTGTTTTCAGTTCTAATGACAATTCATTGTCTAAGGACTATTCCAGGGGAAAATGTATGGGAGGGTTGAACACCCATATTTTTTTTTAAAGTTTTTTTAAAAATTTTTGTGGGTAATGGTACATATGTAGGTAGTGGTAGCAAGAACAAGAACGATTCTATTTCGAAAGAAAATCTAAAATATAGGTGGAATGGTACACATAAAAGTGTTGTCTGTCCTCACTCTTCCCCCATCCAAACCATACATTTTTTTCCTTGAATAGCCCTTAATTCATATATAATCATTCATCATTAAAAAAGGTTTGTTGATTCGTTTTGTATTTTCTGCATATGACAAAATATAATTTTAATTGACTTAAATTTAACAGTACCAATAAAATTAAATATCTATTTTATGTCTGTTATCACTGTATATATGTAAATGTGATACTTATATTCAGGGTATATATAATATGTTGGACATACCTGATCATTTTCTGCTGAAGTTTTCTTATCCCATACTTCTATAACCATAAAATTGTTTCTCATTCTCTCTAAAAGAGCTGTTGACATCAACATTGGAGCAACCTAAAACATTGAATGATAAAACAAACTTCATATGGATTAAGTTCTAGAAACTGCTAATTTACTGACTAAAAAACTTTCAGATATATAACCCTTTCAAAGATAAAAGACATAAAAGGGAATATAGCCAAAAATTATAGAGCATACATTACTATTTTTTTGGAGAAGAAAGATACTAAGTTTTTCTAAATATATGTTACACTAAATTAATCATCCAAATATTTATTTTTAATATTTTGAACCTATAATATGAACTAGGATCTAGTTAAATTTCAGGCCTGAAAATACCAGTAAGCTTCCCTTCTGTATGTTATACAACTACAAAATTTATAAAAATTCAAGCTTTCAAAATAGCTTTAAAATTTTTAAAGCTTTTCAAACACTAATTTTACAATGAGATTTCATATGAAAAGTTTCCATTCCTCAACATGTAATTCTTACTCTTAAAATATAAGTTTATGTAACTTTTAAATATACCTGAGAAAAATGAAATGCTGGATCTGATGTTCCCCAACACACATTGGAATGTACTGCATCATCACACCAAAACATTCTACACACTAAATATGTGTTTCTCACACTCATATCACGGGTCTTTACACCTGTCAGAGAATAAAGTTTTTAAATCTAAACATTATAACTAATGAGATTTCTTACAAAGGAGCTTAACAATCATTTTTTTCTTCTAGTTGTTTTTATATCAGACTTTCATATCTAAATAAAATAAATGAATTTAAAACCAAAAGTTAATAATCAGCATAACTTTAACAAAGAATTAACAATTTTGAATGTACCTCTGACCATTTTTGTTTTACATGCTTCTTGCTCCTTCATCAGCTGTTGCTGTTTTTCTTTCTTAATATCGCTCTTCTACAGAAGCATAATCAATGAGTATTGGTTAGGATGCTTGTCAAATTTATAGAAATTTATAAAATGGAGGCTAGCAATCAAAAACATAGGTGGAGCTTAAGTCTGGTTATAGACCATACAAAGTTTAAATTAGCCAAAATATAAAATCAAGTGATGATTGATTGATTGATTTGTGTTTAACCCCAATTCAGCATTAATGTGCTATTTCATGGCTGTCAGTTTTTATTGGTGGCGGAAGTCATAGTGTATGGAGAGAACCACCGTCATTCAGTAGGAAAACTGACAATCCTAGTTAATTAAGATTGAAGTCGAATGCACCTGCCATGTGCAAGATTCAAACTTAAAAACCACAGTGTTGACAGGCTAGTGATACAGCAAATCGACAACTAAGACCACACGGCCACCGAGGCCCCTATATAATCAAGATGTCAATTTAATTGCAATGTACGAGCAAACCTGTTTACAAACTTCGCAAGAAAAGAACCCAAACTTTTGTTCAATGTGCTACTGTTCAAATCTTATAAAAAATATTAAAAATAAAGACACTTCATATTACCTGGAGGAGACAATGCATGGTGCTGTACAGGAAATACTGGATGCCTTTTCATTGATACTAAAGATGGTATGCCCTGTGTTGATATGCCCCTGCCTTCAGGTACCAGTAATAAAGTGTGAAGAGTCACATGCTGAAAAAGACATTAATATGATATCACCGATTATAAATTTTGATGTCTATACCAGTCCTGTATGTTTTCAGAAAACTCTGTATAAAACTCAGTCTTCACTATTATCCCTAAGCCCTCATGCCCGGTCCAGTAAAAATTTTCTGAAAAGAGGCCTCACAAGCCATATGGATTATAATAAATCTGATGACACAATTGATTTTCTTGTAAGTCCAAAAGTTTTTCATGAAGACTATCTCGCCTTCTTTGTCTTAAGTTTAAACTTTTTGAAGAACTGTAAAACACTTATTTATTTCCTTGTCTTACAGTACGAGAGAACTATGTACTTGACCCTACAAATGTTGTACCCAACACTTGTGATTACTTACCTCAGGACTATAATCTGTATATTGTGACTGATGACTGATTTGTTTAGGAATTGGTTGAATCTCTGGAATAAGTGCAGCACTAGATGTTCTTGATGAACCTTTGTCTGAAATAAAATAATTATGTAAATATAAAAAAGAAGATGTGGTATGATTGCCAATGAGACAACTCTCCACAAGAGACCAAATGACACAGAAATTAAGTTCATTAAATGACTGTGCCTTCAAATGTTTTAAAAAAGTCCACCCAAAAGAATATTCTGTTACTGAACTCTATAAAGTTTGATTATAATTATGATTTTTTAACCTGAAATCTTTTAAAATGAGCAAATATTAGTTGTAGGTGAATGTTATAGGTGAATGTGTTGTGCAATATGGTCAATATTCTTTCCACAAAAAAACTTCAGAAAGACATAACTGATTGATTGGTGATTGCTTTACGCTGCATCAGCACAAAAAGGATATATCGCAGCGAAAGCTATTTCAAATATTATAACAAGACGTTCAGAAAGACATAAACTTTCAGTATAAATAACAATCAATTTCATCTATAAGAATTTTTTTTTATAAACGAGCCACTTAAACTTTATACTATTGTGTCATGATATTCAGTTGCCATCATGGCATTGCGGCTCCAGTTGGTTTGCTTATATATACTTACTGAACTGAGGTTGTGTAGTCAAGTGTTGTGGTTCTGGTTGTGTATGCACTACATTCTGTGATGGAGCAGGAGGTGGGCGTGGTTTGTTTGGTACTGGAGCAGGAATGGGAACTAGTTTAGATTTGCCAGACATTTCAGCTAGCTTTGTACGAGCTAGGTGTGTAGAAAAGTCTTTACTGTCGGAAGCTAATTCAATGGAAACCTGGAAATACAATAGTACAATTACCTCCATGTGATATTATCCACTGAATAAAAAAAACATTTTAAGAACTGATAATATAAAAATTAACTGCACTCATATATATTTCAGGATTACAACAGACATCACAATGTTAAAAAGATTTAAAACTTACATTTTTTTTGTTACAGAAAACATTTAAATTTTGTGATAATAATAAAGCCTAAATGTCATTCTAAAAATAGATGACAAACAAATGTATAATTCAAACTAGGGAATACCTTTAAGTTGCCATAGAGACCATCTAAGTCATTTTTGTGTATTGAGGAGTTGATAGATGAGTTTTTATTTGTAGATTCTCTAATTTCTAATTCTCGATCAACAAATAGTGATTCTGATTTTAACACAGACTTCATTGGTATACCACAACTTCCAATCAATGATGGCTGAAATATAGAACATGAGATGATGTTAACAGGATAAAAAGACAATATATTGTGGATTCATTTATTTTCTTGGGTACCAATTTTCGTTGATAAAGGAAAACTTACATGTTCGTGAATATTTAATTTCGTGGTTTTGCCAAAGTCTGAATACAAGCCTATAGGAAATTTGTCATTCGTTGAATATTTAATTTCGTGGTTCACCTATACCCACGAAATCCACGAAAATTGGTATCCAACAAATAATAATGAATCCATACTTTATGATAACATTTTGTATAAGTAAAGATATCCATAATCATATCACAGTGCAATTTAAGAATTGGATTTTGTATAAAACAGCATATTCACCTGATGAAAAAGTATTTTCACCACACAAAACGTTGAATGATTTTACGTGTATAATTGTGGTAAAATCGTTTGATGAACAATTGGTTTTGGTAAATAATTGTCATTAATTACATTTTCTCTCAAAGAATACGGAATAAAACAATTACTGTGTTTTGCTTCGGTAAATGTGTGGTTTAATTGACTTTTGAAAAACTGATATTCACTTCGGCCATTAAATTTAGTGAATATCAGTTTTTCAAAAGTCAATTAAACCACATATTTACCTCACCAAAAGACAGTAATGGTATAATATTTATAGCTTTGTCAATTTTTTTTCTCTTTTTAAAAATAGTCATTTTAAACTCTCTAAAGTAAACAAAACATTTAGTTATTTTCAAAACACAAATTTACTAGGGTTAAATCATATTTATATCACTCAATTTGATAATCATAAAAGTGACCTATAGTTGTTACATTCTACATCATTTGGTCTCTGGTGGTGAGTTGTCTCGGCAATCATACCACATCTCTTTTTTTAAGCTAATTTTTATGGCATTTTATATTAAGAGTAAATGCATACCACTTTTTGTCCTGCTGATCTTGCATACACTTTAAACACCAGAGCTGATTTCCACCAATTATCTACTGCATTACCATCAAACATAATAGGGAAGACAGATCGATGATTGAACTGCACCACTGAAATTATTATTTATAGGCATGATTAAACTTAAACAATAAATATGAGTAATCAAAACCATTTAACTAATCAAACTTGAACAAAATGTAATATCACATGGCCAATTGTTACTACAGAAAGACATAAAATGTTGGGAATTACGATAAATGATTGCAATATCTATATGGTATTATTTAACATTAGAAAGAAAGCATGAGTAATATTTTTATAACATGAAAGTCTGCTCTGTTATTATGTACCTACCATTTTGATTTCTCATTTGCTCCTTATTTTCTTTTTTCAAACTTTATATATAAATGCTAAAAAGATACTTACAACCATTACTGACTTTTTTGGATGCCACCCTCATCACCTCTGTGGCCAAAGCATTAGGTGAATATTTATCTCTAGATGTGGCTACCACTGGAAACTGGTACTCTATAAAGTATGTCCTATAACACAAATAAACAAATAACTTTATATGCTAGTTAGGATGTGAATAAAGTATAAAAACAAAAGTTTTAAACTGTTTTTATTTTATAAATCCACAAAGTATAAGTATCAAGATTGTCCAATTTTTTCAATCTCCGACCGTTTTGCAACCTCTTTGCTGTAAGAGTTAATTATACTTTCAATGCTTTATATCTTGAACATGTGCTCTGCCAAGATAATGCTCAAAAGCAATGGCACTGATTATATCAAAAAGGTTTGATCTACAAATATTTCAATGAATCACTTTTGAAAATACATTTTCTTGGCTTTGCTGACTGTTCCTAATTATTTAGATTCATTACATTAATTTTTATTTTCATTATTAACATAACCAGAATAGATTTCTGAAAACAGATCAGTCTGAAATATTTTCATTTGAATAAGTATCATCAAGTATTATTCCCCCTTACATGGACTTCTTAGCTTTAGGTGAAGGCTTTGGAGGTCTTCCTACTGTTTTGAACTTAAAACTTTTCTTTGATGATGACGATGTATTGAGCTCCTGTCCAGTAAGATGAAGAGCATCAATCACTACACGAGCTACATGTACTCGACCGAGTAATGTCAACCTTTCTACACTTAAACCATCTACTTTTTTACTTCGTGATGGCTCATCTGAAATAATAAAATAATTTGCTTTGTTTTTCTTTTCACACTATTATTCTTAAAATATTTATTAAGTTTGTCAAATTGTAAAATAATATATGCAAATAAGTGTACAATTATCAGTAAGTATGATATAAACTGGAAAATGTCAAAATAATTCAAATTTATCTTCCACTTAAAATTTTACCTCCATAATCATCGCTTAATTTTTGTAAATGTCAATTGCAATAAGTATCAATAAATTGCTAGGTTACTCATGCACTTAAGGTTTCACATCATATTGAAAATTAAAAATTCTTAATGAAATGTTTTTTTTACACCAACTTTTGAGGTGAACAGCAAATAAAGCTCTATTATGATCTTTTTTGCTTTTTCTTTTCCAGGTTCAATTAATTTGTTTGCTTTTTCAACTTTGCCACAGAATTTTAAAATCATTTTTGAATATCAAATAACACATACCATGCTCTGGTTCATCCAAATCAGAAGCAGGTAAATCAAATGATACTTGTGATAATTCTGACCGTGGTGTACAGGCTCTGTCACTGTCGCTGTATTCACTAGCGGTACTTCTGGCACTGCTCCGTGATCGTCTACGTTTCTTACTTCCTGTTCGTTTTGTCTTTAACCTTGCCTTTCTCTTTGGAGTTTTGATCTTTTTCTTTGGTTTGTCCTCCGTCACTTGTGGTTCTGGGAAATTTAAACTTGATATCGATGATCTCCTTGATGGAGGTCTCTGTAAATATAAATGGTAGTTATGATATTGCTTATTCTAAATAGCCTTAGCTGTCCAAGTCTCTTCATAATCAAGTATATAGGATTAACATAGATCAGGGGTAAAATAAATAAAATGTGCTTAAATTTTTTCAAAGATATCTTGACTATTATGATGTTCATTTTTATCTTTTTTCATTGCAGTTATTCTGGTATCATTTTATAAATAATCAACCAATTCAACAGCCAATCATTTTAAGTGTATTCTTTTTGTATTTAATTATTGTTTATTTACAATATTCTCCATTTGCTCCAACATTAAGCAAATAAAGAATTTAATCTTTTCATCTATTTTGGTATTCCCTATACATGCATAAAGTTTATTTTCTATCAATTATGTTGAAATGCTTGGTCTGACTGATTAATGTTTTAACTGTCCCCATCAACTATAAGTTGTTTGTATTTTTATTTTCATAAATGCAGTTTCCACATTCTAATGTACAGTTCAGAAGTAAGATAACACTAATACAACAAGTTAACAACAAGAAGATACTACTTTATTACCAATCAAGGACACACAAGGACACACAAGGAGCATACAAACATACAAATAGAGGGAAAAAAGAATATTGATACTAATATGCTTGCCAACAGGATTTCTTTCATTGATGGAAGAAAAGAAAAAAATTATAAGGACTATTCCTTAAAAAAGAATGTTGAATGGTAAAATGATGGTAGGAAAGGAAGTTTTATTTTTGGAAATACTCTGTGAGTCATCTTTTATTATATCCATCTAATGTAAGCAAAATTAAAAAAAAAAGTATGTTAGTTGTTGGGGGTTTATAAAGTCCCTTCCTACTTACTCAGTGTCTCCCATCCACTTATAGCCCTAAGTCTCTGCTGTATTATTCTGTCAATAGCAAATTCTATTTAAATATTGATTGATTGTTGGTGTTTCCCACCACTTTCAACACTATTGGCTATATTTTGGAGGTCAGGTTTTATTGGTTGAGGAAGCCGGAGGCCCAGAGGGAACCACAACTTTAGACAAGAAAAATGACAATCCTAGTCAATTATTTGAACAAGATACGCAAAGGGCTTTTCCAGAATTAATTGAATGGGGTGGTCGAAAGGTACTTTTATTATAATTTAATGGGTGGTGTTTTTTTTTAGCCTTAACAATTATATGAAATAATCAATCAAAATTTTCGACCCCCCTCAAGTACATTCATTTCTGGAATAGCCCAGACAAGAAACAGTAGGACTACGTACTTGATTAGAAGGATCTTCAACAGATGCAGTACTAGCACGCCTCTTCACAGATTTTGTCTTCTTCAGCTCATCTCCACTTAACTCACTCAAGTCACTTACTTCAGATTCCTTCAAAATGTAATTTAATCAGAAATTATAAAATAAGATTTCAAATCACTACATGAAGAAAGTTGGGCTAGAATAAAAAAAATAATCATACTAGTATTTTCTGCAGAAAATGCATTACATTAATGATGTTTGAATAGATATTTCAGCAAGTTACTTCTAGACTTATATTTGATATGAATGATAATAAAAAATTTGTATTTAAAGCAATTTCAAGTTTTTTATAAGATAATGCACCCCCTCCCCCTCCCCCACAAGTTTACTAAAAACTAAAAATTCTGATTTAGAATTTAAAAGGTACAGCTAATTTTTACATAACTTACAGGATTTTTGTAAAAGAGTTCTTGTAGTATTGATTCACTGTGTATTGGATCTCCAGGATCACTCATCACATCCATATCATCAGATATACTGGAACCTGGACCACCATTCATCATCATCTATAATTCATCAAACTTACATATTAATATCGTTTATCTTTTATCATACTAGGTTCATAACTTAAAATTAAATTTATAAGGCTTTTAATAAATTCTCTTTAATTAGTAATACTGTTGAAAGGATAACAGCACTTAACCCTTAAAGAATTTCTACATTTCTTTCATCCCAATTTCCCCCTAAAATGAGCCATAAAGAATGTAAACTTTTAATGCACATATATATGGTTATCATTAATTTCAGTTCTAGAATAAATAACCTTTGTTATTAAACAGGGAGGTAATATATCAATATTAATTTTTACTCCTTATAAAAAAATCAATTTCACCTCCCCTCATTTAGACTATCAAATTATATTTCAAATGAAACATACCGCCATTTTTAAGTTATTTTTTCTTGAAATTTATTTTAAATGGGTTGTTTTAAACAATAAAAAGTGTATACAGTTTAGTTCTTACATTATAATCAAAAGCTCCAGTTCCACCAAACATAAGATCTACAGCCCTGGAATCTAAGGCAGATAAATCAACGTCATTCTCATTGTCGGCCTTTAGGATTTCTTTAAGTAAACTTCCAGCTGATCCTCTCCTGTAAATAAATCATTAGTCTGTTCAAACCACACTTCTATACAATGCAACAAAATCTCAGTTTCAAAGTAATAAAGCAGCTATTCAATATTTTTTAGTTTTATCCAATGTTTCGCATTTGATTACTGTAAATATGACAAGATCACTGCCATTACAGTCCTTCACTCTATGCTTCAATGCATCATTTCTATAACAATAAAATGCTCCGCTGGGGCGCAGCTTGATAGGACCACAGAGGTCGAACCCTGAACAGTTGGGGCAAGTATGGACACAACATTCAAGCTTGATACAGCACTGAATTTGGATTGTAATTAAATATTTGACACAGCATAGGTTTCTGACACAGAATGAAAGTGATCTAAGAACTTAAAAAAATTTAATTTACCTATTCAAACCATATCATTATTATTTGCTTTTATATATAAATCAGAAATAACCAATTTAAAATGGAAAATTTTAAAGAAAAAAAAAGGAAAAAAAACCCCCCCCCTAATTTTTTGAACCCCCTTATGATTGATCACCCCCAAACTCAATCCCAGCCTTCCCTTTGTGGTATGGTACCTTGCAGTACAATTTCAGAGAGATCCATACACTTGAACACAAGTTATTGTCTGGAAACTAGAAAAATGCTTGTTTTTTGGTCCCTTTTTGGCCCCAAATTCCTAAACGTTTAGGGCAATTACCCCCAAACTCAATCCCAGCTTTCCCTTTGTGATATGGAACCTTGCAGTACAATTTCATAAAGATCCATACACTTACACACAAGTTATTGTCCTGAAACTAGAAAAATGCTTGTTTTTGGCCCTTTTTGGCCCCTAATTCCGAAAATTTGGAGGCAATTACCCCCAAAATCAATCCCAGCATTCCCTTTGTGATATGGATCCTTGTGATACAATGTCAGAGAGATCCATAGACTTACACACAAGTTATTGTTATGAAACTAGTAAAATGCTTGTTTTTTCCCCCTTTTTGGCCCCTAATTGCTAAAATTTTGAGGCAATTACCCCCAAAATCAATCCCAGCCTTCCCTTTGTGGTATGGTACCTTGCAGTACAATTTCAGAGAGATCCATACACTTGAACACAAGTTATTGTCTGGAAACTAGAAAAATGCTTATTTTTGGCCCCTTTTTTGCCCCTTTTTCCTAAAATTTTTGGGCAATTACCCCCAAACTCAATTCCAGCTTTCCCTTTGTGATATGGAACCTTGTAGTACAATTTCATAAAGATCCACACACTTACACACAAGTTATTGTCATGAAACTAGAAAACTGCTTGTTTTTTGCCCCTTTTTGGCCCCTAATTCCTAAAATTTGGAGGCAATTACCCCCAAAATCAATCCCAGCATTCCCTTTGTGATATGGAACCTTGTGATACAATTTTAGAGAGATCCATAGACTTACACACAAGTTATTGTCATGAAACTAGAAAAATGCTTGTTTTTTGCCCCTTTTTGGCCCCTAATTCCTAAAATTTGGAGGCAATTACCCCCAAAATCAATCCCAGCATTCCCTTTGTGATATGGAACCTTTTGGTACAATGTCAGAGAGATCCATACACAAACACACAAGTTATGTCTGGAAGTTACAAAAATGCTTATTTTTGGCCCCTAAATCCTTAACTGTTGGTACCATAACCCCCAAAATCAATCCCCACCTTCCTTTTGTAGTATTGAACCTTATGATTAAATTTCATTGAGATCCATTCACTTTAACTAAAGTTAGAGTGCGAAAACTAATGTGTCTTCGGACGACGACGCGGGACGACTACGACAACAACGACGCCAACGTCATACCAATATACGACCACAAAAATTTTTTGCGGTCGTATAAAAACATAAGAAGGATAACTTGTAACAGATGTTACCCCTAATTTTATGCTACATAAAAAATTTTCACAACACATTTTATATACGATCATTTTGCAATTTCACATTTGGGGATACATTTAAAAATATTGGTGGGGGATTTCCACAGCCATTGTTGGTGGTTGTGAGAAATTACTTCTCCATTGGTGACATGTGACATGATTCTAATTTATAGTGTTGTCATCAACAGCAATCACCCTGTTCCAATGATTTACTTGACACTGGCACTGTAGAATTTCCACAGGGAATGCTGGGGGTTGTTGGTGATTGCCTCTGAAATATCTTCGTACATTACAATGGCAACATGTGACAATGGTCCTAACTTTTAGTCACCTCCAATCACCAGCAAAGATCCTGTTCCAGTGATTCACTCAACACAGGGAAGAGTGATCTTCAACCAAATCTACTTGTGTGTACTGTATCCCATACAAAAAGATATATAAAAATAAGGTGATGTGGTATGATTGCCAATGAGACAACTATCCACCAAAGTTCAAATTAAGTGGATGTAAGCAATTATAGGGAAATGTACAGCCTTCAACAATGAGAAAAACTCATACTGTATAGTGGGCTATAAAAGGCCCCCGGCATGAAAAATATGAAACAATTCAATTGAGAAAATTAATGGCCTGATTTATAACAAAACAATTTATGAAAAACAAATATGATGGACATGAACCAACGACAACCACTGAACTACTGGCTCCTGACTTGGGAAAGATGTGGCAAGTTAAACATGTTTGTGAGTGCTAAACCCTCCCCTAACCTGGGACAGTGGTGTTACAGCAAAAAATAAGAAAAACTATAAAAATCAGTTGAAAAGCGCTGAACTCATCAGATCGATACAAAGCAGAAAAACATTTAACAAAAACACAGACCAGATGTGGTACAGTATTTATACATCTTTAACAACTAAAAAGACACAAAGTACAGATCTGAGAGTACTTGCAGTTACTGACAGCTAGTTCAAAGCCATTAACAATTAATAAAAAAACAAGTGAAACTGCTAGCTACTGCTCACTGTTAATACCCCTGCCACAACTAGATAATTTTAATAGTGTAAAAATATGCAAGTGTTCGGTAAACAGGAAGTTGTTGAGTGATGAATCTGAAACGCATCACACGGTATAGCTAACTTATATAAACCCTGAAACCAAATTTCAGAAATCCTTATGATGTAGTTCCTGAGGAAGATGCGACGGAAAATATTCATGGGACGGATGGACGGACAGACAGAGGTAAAACAGGGGGTATAAAAAAATCATGTATCTAAGACTAAAATATCAAAATATTTATTTATTTCCTTTACCTGTCAGACATGCCTGATAAGTTGACACCATTCATACTGATATCTGGACCATTGGTAACTGATGGACCATTTCCTTTATCATCGTCTATACTGGATATGATCATCTGGTCTCGTAATTTACTGCCTCTTTCCAGTAAAACAGATAACAGATTCCTATCCGATTCAGTCTTAGAAGGACTAGCTGTAAATTCAAAAATAAATGAATTCCTGGTGTTATTTTGGCCATTAGACTTACTTGTTATTTGTTGGTTCTTTTTACTTAAATTACTTTCATATCAAATTTTAAAACTGAAATGATGTTAATTTAAATATAATTAATTTAAAATTTTCAGTTTTACTGCCCATACTCAGTGAAGAAACATATTTTACAACAATTTGTTTAAATTTGTTTAATGAACATTGAAATACAAATAACAAAACTTGCTATAATTGAAAATTTTTAGGCATGCAAAGTTTAAAAAAAAAAGATTTTGTCTGGCACTGTATGCTGACTTACGTCTACCATTAGACTTCTTAGGCTGTGGATTTTGATCATAGAAGCTAAGATCTGTAGTAACAACATCTCCATTGGTTGTTATGGCAACAGTACTACCAGATCTGACAGGAGGAACTTGATTGGATGGTAAGTCATTCATGCTGTAGTTAAGCTGTTGACGAAGGTCTGATGCATAATCAGCAAAACCATTCTGCATTGCACCTTCTGCATTCTATTAATATAAAAAAAAATTGATAATCAAAGAAAAATATCTTCAGCAAATGAAGTCGCCAGTTTTTTTTTTCCTTCATAAGAAAAATCTTCTGTATAGAGAACTATAATTCATGTACTTAGCACTAATTTATTACCTATTCTTACACTTTTGCTATAAATCTATCCAAGAAAATTTTCTGTAGTATTTTCAAATTGGAAGAGTTAGCATTGAGATATACTTATTGATTTCATTGAAAAACTTATTTTGTGCAAGACTTCTTAAATGATAGAGCAAACTAGAAAAGCATTGGTTATGTGTAATACAAGTTGTTCTGTTCTAACCTGATGTGAAGCTGGAGATATAAATGGGTCATCTACAGGTTTACGTGGAGCCTGTGAATGTGGAACAGGTTGATTTCTCTGTGGATACATGGAATCTTGTGTAGCTTGTGTTTCAAAACTGATATCTGTTGTTGGAACTGATCCATTGCTGTCGTAGGAAGCTGAAATAAAAATAAATAACATTAGAAGTGTTCAATCATAGGAAAACAACAGCTCAAATATGATGTAAAAACTACCTGAATAATAAAGCAATAAGCTATCAAATCAGTGATATTGTTGTCTTTTTTCAAAACTACCTCTACCCTTTTTTTCTGGGACAAATGCATCATTTTTTTGGAAATTAGGAAGTTTTGAATAAGAAGTAATTGTAATAAAACTTGAATTGTGAGACATTTTCAACAGGAAAGGAACTTTTTGGGGAGGGGAAAGAAACTGAAAAAATTATGGTACTTAATACATTGAAAACCACGTGTGTTACAAACACCGCCATGATTCTAACAGAAACCGGGATCTCAAAAGCACTTTCATAATATCAAAATAATAACATGAATACGAAATTTACGTACATTACTACCGATGTCATCACCATTTAGGAAAAATGTACAACTTATTGGAAGGAATTTTCTGCCATTTTTTTCAGTAATTGGGAATTTTCTCTAGGGGAAAAAGCCGAATTTCTGAGGTAATTTGAGGCAAACAATATCACTGTTAGTCAACATTTCAATAGTTAATTTTTGTAAGAAGTAGACTTTAATTTAATCCTAAGTTCTAATGGTTTTATTATTTCAAATAAATTTCTTCTTACTTGTTATTAGAATTTTTTTGGTCGTAGATAGAATTTTAGATCTTTATTATTTTACTTTTTTTTTTTAAATCAGGTGTCAAAATATTATTACTCTAACATAAACCAGTCACCCACAACTATGGTACTATGAATCATTTTGACTGTTCCTTAAGATGCTTAATCTAAAAACCTGATATTTCCTCAATTTTTTTTTTGGCAGAAGCAGTCAAAATATCCATATATAAAACAGAAACTTGCAAGGTAAATGTGAAATACTTAAACCACTAGTCAGCTGATGACATATCTTATATGATTATGTTTCTTCACTCTCTCATTCTAATCACATGATTTAATGAAAGGGAGTCTGTTCTAATGGATACTTAATAATACACATTCATACCCATAAGTGATTCTAGAACAAGTGATACTTGGATTTCTGCTATCTTCTGTTCTTCTTCTGTGAAAACTGGGTAAAATCTAACAAAGAAAAAGAATAATGAAAAATACAATTCAAGTAAAGATTTTTGAATTAATTATAGTTCCTGTTATTTTTTTAATACTATTATTATTCTGAATTTCATATATCACTAACAAAAAATGTAGCTTTCTTAATAACATTCTATGATGACATCTTAACACTTATGTAATTAAAAACTGGACATTCAATTACCCTACATTAACAAATGATTAATATAAGAATTTGTTTGTCATATTGCTTGTAAAAAAAAATATTTGAATCAAGGATATCTTATTGGTATTTTTAATTTATCATTATCTTTCTAATAAAAATATGGTCTTTTCTTTCAAAAATGATCCTTAACTTCATTTCTACATATATAGAGTTGTTTAATTTATCATACTGAAACTAAAACAAGTATTTTTAGATGAAAGTGGTAGAAACTAGGTTACATCTCATTAATCAGTCCTAGTAACAACTATCCAATCGGTGTGTCTTTTGCATATCCTACCTCCCCTATGTATGTCACAATTGTCTAATTTCACCTCAGCTTATACTACTAACCCTTTAACTGGACGATTAGGTGACAACTGTCCAATCTGTGTGACTTCAGCATATCCCACAGGTAACAACAAAGGACCACTTAACACTTCTAGTATTATACTGCCCATGTCACCTAGGTAGGAGGCAAACTGTTTTGGACCAGATCTGATGGGGTACCTTGCTATGGTCTTACTGGAAGCTTTATCATTCTGCTTCACATCTAAGGGTCTACAAATATGTAATCAATAAAATTTTAATTAGGTATTGACTAAAGCCACATAAATAACATTGCTAAGACTATGTCTTTTGTATTTCAGGTGTTGTTCTAAAAGGTTTTTCCTGTGTAACAATTCAAAAATCTACAGCAATGAAAATCAAGATGAAGAAATATAATTGTATACTTATATACTATAAAACAAATGTTTAGTATAATCCATGCAATTTTTGAGGAAAATGACACTGCTAACACTTTTATATTATACAAACTTTTAGAAACATGTTGTGTGCACTTAATTGCCTATACATGTATAAAAATGAATATACAGTTTAAATAGTTCTAATTGATACCTGAATAAAGCTCCATCACCATCCTCTCCCCACCACTTAACTCTAGCATGTGTGACAACAGGTGGACTTGGTGACACCCATACGATCTCTGGTATGGACAATCGGAGAAAACATCGTAACTGGCCTTCAACTTGTGGTGGTAATCCTGTATGAACCTGTACATCTTCTTTCTGCCATTGTTCACCTAAGAAAATACATGTATTACGTTTATTGAATTTTATATAAAATTACATAAAATAAATTGACGAATTAAAGCAAAATACTGACGCGATGGTACCTATTTAGTATTTATTGAACTCTTGTTCAATTATATGCTTTAAGATGCTGTTTTTGTCATTAAAGGTTATTATATCCCTGTAAGGTGATTAGTACTTGTTTTTTCCTTTATTTTGAGAATTAGGTATTTGATTATTTCTGTTAACTGTAAAATCAGAAATTATTGCAGTGTTTTTATTAATGCCAAAAATAAAGGTCGCAATAATAACAATTTTCTTTAATAATTTCAGTAGTGATTTTCCATCACCAATTTAGAATTAGATCTTGCATTTTTACCTGTATTCAGTGATTCGTAATAATGAATGCACACATTAATTTCTGAATTTATAATTATAGTAATTTATTCTTACCATTTCGAAATTGATATATATTGTATAGACATTTAATGATGAAGACTGTATGTTGTCCTCTAAATGTCTTTTGATTATTTTTGTTATTTGAGTTACTGTTTCTTTGACACATATCCTACATTTCCATCTATTGGTATTGGGTCTATTCGTCCACATATCATGTTACCTTCATTCTAATTTAAATACAAATGTATATGATGATGAAGGATGGCCATTGAATGTCAATTGCCGTTATAAATGGACAGAAAGCGAAATGGTGTATTGTAAAACATAAGATTTCCCATAAATTTGTTTATTTGATTCCCAAAAAGTATCATAGACTGATTGTTGGTTGCTTAATGTCCAGTGGCAAACATTTCATACATGACATGTTTAGGATGAAAAAAGTATCATAGAAATAATGATGATTTTGACCTCTTTCACAGGTAACACCTGCCTCATATTAGGTAAATGGTTTCCACATATCAGGTCAAACGCCAAAGAATCACAAACAGGGAGGAACAAGGTAGTGTACTTCTTTTCTTTGTATGAGCTTCCTATTAGAAGGAACACCCCTTAGCGGGTAATATTAAGATATTCAATAGGGGGAAGAAACAGGGATAAAATATATTACATCAAGGTAAAATCTAATGGTGGTGCGCTATACATTGACAGTGAAATGTAAAAAAGAAATCATAGTAGATAAAATATACAATGATATACATGAAAATGATAAAACCAATCTACAGAAGGTCATATAATATGTACTTGCAGCTTCCCATACCTCCCCCTTTTCTTAATGTTAAACCATAAAATTATCTTAACTAAATTTGCACCATATTGGAAACCTATGACAGATCGAAATGTATTTATTTCATTCTATGCTTAGAGATAGCAAACAGAATTGATGCGATATATACTGACTATAAATGTACATAATTGCCGCCAACCTGCTGATTTTTAAACATGTATAAACATGGTCAAAATGTAAACAAACACTTTTGACATGGGTATACCTTGTTTTTTCGTTGACTTGGTGCCTTTTTGTTTCTTTTTCACCATATTCAAGCATTTAATGGATTACATCATTGATAAAATAATGAGTATACATCCACAGAATAGCTATATTTTGCAGAAACATAGCTGTTACCAGCCAAACATTCTTCTCGGACTGTCCGCCATTCTGAATCTCGCTTGTATGAGACTTAATTTTACTAGAGATTATTTTCGTAGTTTATGTTATTTAAACTACTGATATCGGTAAAGTTTAATTTTAACAAGAAACAATGAGAAATACAAATAACTCATCAATATTTGGGTTGAAAATTTATTATATCGATAATAAACAACTCAAAACATTAACGGGCACTTTCCGGAACAAGATGTCTGCTATGGAAAAACAAGCTTTGAAAAATAAACTGGGTGGTTTACCACCAATGCCACCACCTGGTGTAGGGTGAATACAAATTTAAAGTGACACTTTCATTATTGCATAATCAATTGAATAACACCATAGCATGCCATTACAGAAAAACAAGAACTAATGCCATAAATAGTTTACCAAAACAGTCTTTACACACAATTTTTTTTAGAAAAAATGATACTCCCCATATTCAGTACATGCAGACAATTAACTGTATTTACCAGTGTGGTAATAGATATTTCAGCCAAATTCACATTCGTTTAACAGAGCTCCAGACATTCAAGGGTAATACGAGGCAGGTGTTACCTGTGAAAGGGGACGAAGTCTGTATGAATTATTTTTTTTTTAATTCAAACATTTTAACTTCAAAATCTGTTCAAAAAGAAACGGAATTACCCTTACGTTTCCGATTTCGGTTCTGTTGTTCGGAATTTTAGTTGTGACGTTATTTATGTTATGACGTCATATTCAATTTCATATCAAGCCATTCAAGGAATTATTAAAAATGGAATTGGTATTGGGTTCCTTCCTATATTTTACTAGACTGATAAATATATATTTTACTCAAAGACTCACGCAAACGAGACCGGAAAAAGGAAGTAGATTTCTGCGCAAATGCGGGAAAATAAAAAAGTTAACGATTTTGAGTTCATTAGTAGAATGAAAATTTCGGGAAATTTTCCCGATTTTTTTTTTTTTTTTTTTTATTGACTTTTCTACCGTAATAGGGGACTTCGTCCCCTTATAACTTGAATATGTTAATATGAGACAGGCATTACCTGTGAAAGGGTTAAAGTCTGTATGAATTATTTTTTTTTAATTCAAACATATTTTAACTTCAAAATCTGTTCAAAAAGAAACGGAAATACCCTTACGTTTCCGAGTTCGTTTCTGTTGTTCGGAATTTTAGTTGTGACGTTATTTATGTTATGACGTCATATTCAATGTAAACAAAGAAACGCTATCAGATAACGTTTTTTCATATCAAGCCATTCAAGGAATTATTAAAAATGGAATTGGTATTGCGTTCCTTCCTATATTTTACTAGACTGATAAATATATATTTTACTCAAAGACTCATGCAAACGAGACCGGAAAAAGGAAGTAGATTTCTGCGAAAATGCGGGAAAATAAAAAAGTCTGAAAATAAAAAAGTTAAAAAAAGTAAACGATTTTTGAGTTCATTAGTAGAATGAAAATTTTGGGAAATTTTCCCGATTTTTTTTTTTATTGATTTTTCTACCGTAATAGGGGAGTTCGTCCCCTTATTAGAGAAAAATAAACACATTTATTCTAAAACCAGTTGTTGGCATGATACAGCATGTACAGGTTATGTTCTTCTCATATATTTTATGATGGTATTATACTAAACCTTCTTCTTCTTTCAGTTTCCGCACTCCATCATAATATTGATGACTATGTGCCGTGCATGCGTGGGTAGAATTTACAAATATATATTTACATCAAAATTTAAATAAAGAAATAATAACTTGTTTTTGATTTTCACTGTACATATAAGATAAACTGTTATCACAGAGATATGTCTCGCCTTTTTTGTAATTTTGACAATAAACCCCTAATAGTAGGGATTGTGCCTGATTTTCATATGATGAAGACATAATCTTTCAATCAGTTTAATTGAGGTCTGGAGCTGGCATGTCAGTAACTGCTAGTAGTCCTTTGTTAATTTATGTATCATTGTCTTTTTTCTTAGTTTCTTTTGTTACCTATTCTGACATCAGACTCGGACTTCTGTAAAACTGAGTTTTACTGTGCTTATTGCTGTGTGTTTGTTTATTCTACATTGACTAGAGGTATAGGGGAGGGTTGTGATCTCACAAAACATGTTTAACCCTGCCGCAATTTTTGCACCTGTCCCAATTCAGAAGCCTCTGGCCTTTGTTAGTCTTGTATGATTTTTAATTTTAGTTTATTTATATGTTTCTGAGTTAAGTGTGACGTCCATTTTCACTGAACTAGTACACATTTTTGTTTAGGGGCCAGCTGAAGCCCGCCTCCAGGTGGGGGATTTTCTCGCTGTGTTCAAGACCCATTGGTGGCCTTGGGCTGTTTTCTGCTCTTTGGTCGGGTTGTTGTCTCTTTGACACATTCCCCATTTCCATTCTCAATTTTATGTGTTATTACAGATACTTTCACGAGTTGTCTACTCTTTGTTTCTAAAATTTTGTTAATATGTAGTCAGTCAAGGATACTACTTGTACAAGTTATTTTTTATTTACTTGAAGAAGTAAATATTGATATCCTAACATAAGTAAATTTGTTATATTCATATTTCTTATTAGGTTTGAATAATCTCTTCTTAATTTTCTCAAAAAATTTACTTGTGTAAGTAATTTTTATACGCCCGTCAAATTTTTGACGGGACATATTATGTTATACAAATGTCCGGCGTCTGTCTGTCCGTCTGTCTGTCCGGCGTAAACATGTCGCACCATAACTTGAGAATGACTTATCCAAATTTCATGAAACTTAACATAGTTGTTTCTTATGATGGTAAAACGATCTGTATACTTTTTGGTGAAAATAAGATTAAAACTTTTTGAGTTACGGGACTTAGTAACTAAAACAGGTGTGTGTTTTTTTTTCACATGTCGCGCCGTATCTCAAAAACAGTTTATGATTATTGCTTAAAACTTTACACACTTCTTAGTTATATTAACCTTAAGATCTGTATACTTTTTGGTGATGATTCAAAATTTTATTTTTGAGTTATTGAGTATTTTGTAAAAAAAGGTGGAGGGGTTTTTCACATGTCGCGCCGTATCTCAAAAACGATTTATGATTATTGCATAAAATTTTACACACTTCTTAGTTATGTTAATCTAAAGATCTGTATACTTTTTGGTTTTGATTCAAAATTTTATTTTTGAGATAGGGGAAATTCGTCTAAATACGGACGGTGCCTAATTGCGGACAGAATAGGAAGTCTCCTTCTTATAATCGAGTTTATGAATTCATAATGAAATAAATAAAATTGTAGTTAATGTATTTTCTTTTTCAATTATATGGTTGTATACTTATTCTGTTTTAAATATCAAAATGAATACATTTAATAGCGTATCATGTGATTAAAACTGATAGATACCCGGAAGTCTAAGTTTAAAAGTTACAACCCCGGGAATTTTTGAAATCTACATAGTTGACAGTCTACAGAGTTATTACACTTTTCCACGTAAGTATGGTTATCTATTTAAAATAAAATGAATAATAATGTACTTAAGTATACTTAGATTTAAAACAATTAATGATTTATATCTTTTCTTTACATATTTTCTGTAAAAACGTCATACATTAGATGTCTGCATTTGCACCACCCATTTTTTTATTGGTAGTTGAAATGCGGACACAAGAAAAGTAATTACACTTCGTTTAAATGAAAGTGGTTTTGTTCAGAAATGATCGTGTATAGGTGTCAACTATCATCACACTCTATACTCATTTAAAAATATATATATATGGTGAACATAAATACAAACCTTGCACTGTTGATATTTTCAATGTACAAATAAAATAAAATTTTCAAGTCAAATACGGAACAGGTTATCAAATAAAGTAATACAAATCCGTACAAATAAAAATGATGGTGATGATGTCACGCTATCCATACACATAATTCTGGCCGAGGCGGTTGAATTAAGAATGAAATACATTTTTTCAAAATGTACATCATTGATTTTTTTCTTTCCAGAATGTCTACATGCTTAGAATTGTTCAAACGAGAAATAGGGATAAAATCTATCTTGTCAACTATGTTAGCCCGTAACAAATTGAATGAATGTGTCAAAGATGAATGTTTGTTTGACACTGACCAGACATTCGTATTATGCTCAAAACTGTTCGATTTATCAAGAAATAAATACATTGCAAAGCTTTTAGTTGATATCATCGAAGAAGATAAAACAAATGATATTGGAAGCATTGTTTTTGTGGCAAGAACACTGGTAAGAAGAGGCACATGTTTTATTTCACAAGCAGAAGCAGACGATTTACAAAGTTGTGCAGAGACTTTTTTGAAAGATTTATTTTAGTATTAAACTTACTACATGCTTTACTTGAGTTATATGTAAGAAAATAAATACGTGGCTATCTATTATCTTTTGTTTTCGTTCTTTTTTCAGAATGTTAAGGGTGAAAAAATCTAAGTCGAAAGAATTAAGATATAATCAAACAGCTTTAGAAAATGCTGTAAGGAGTATGAAATCGGGGGAAATGTCTGTGAGAAAAGCGGCACAGCATTTTGATGTACCTAAATCTACAATCGGAGATCGTGTAACTGGGAAGAGGGATTTGGAAGTCGGCAGGGGACGGAAACCAGCACTGCCTCTAGAGTTAGAGAAGTCCATCGTCCAGTCAGTTAAGAGAGCTTCCCAGTTGGGAGTTGGACTTTCACGCAAACAACTTCTTACCAGAACTGGAGCACTAGTAAAGAAATTAAAATTAAAAACACCCTTCAAAAACTCAACGCCTGGTAAAGAATGGTGGCAAAGCCTTAAAGAAAGACACCGGATTTAACAATTAGGAAACCAGAAAAAACAGGTGCCTTACGGTGCCGAATGATGAACCGGCAAAAAGTCGAGGCCTATTTCCAAGACTTAGGATTAATTCTAACACAGAAAAATCTGTTAGGGAAACCAAAATTGATATGGAATATGGACGAGTCGGGAAAATCTTTTGAACACGATCCTGTCAAAGTAGTGGCTGAAAAGGGGGCAAGAAATGTACCAGGTCGCACAAGCGCTATCAGCACACATGTGACGCTAGTTGCTTGCGTCAATGCTATGGGAGATAAGATGAGTCCTTTGTTAGTTGTAAAAGGTAAAACAGAAAGATCGATATTTGGTTTCAATACACAAGAGGCTCCACCAATGACCATGTGGGACTACCAGGAAAGTGGGTGGATGGATGATAGAATCGGAGAACGGTGGTCTAAAGACATTTTTTTGAAACAGTGTGGTAACGATCGGCCACAGATTCTCATTGTAGATGGGCACTCATCACACGAATCTTTAGCG